CCACTCCAAGCGGAGTGCCCTCTTCTCATTCAGGTGATTCCGCATTAGATCTGTTAGTTCCATGCAGTGTTGAAGTTTTTCATTCATGACCTGTGTAAGAAAAATTTTAGTAACGTATTTATATTTAAACAATACAGTCATATGCATAAAAATTTTATAGCTATACAATGAAAAATCCTGCTCCTCAGTTCTCTCCCCAGAGGCAGTCAGCAACATTATCAGTTTCTTGTGAACACCCAGAGACATTTTGTAATGTACAGATTTAACTGCAAGAAATACTTTGCATACTAAAGCTCTATTTGTAAGATTTTGATGGAAGAACTAAAAATAGGTTTTTGAGTCCTAGTTTTTAGTAGCTGCCCTTTTTAGCAGTTAAAAAAGGCAAACTTGAAACATGTTTTTTTAGCAAGCCCTAAAGAAAATTTGCTTTCTACTAGAAACCTACGCTTAACATTTGACCTGCTGCACACACACCACTAGATGGCATTGCTTTCAACTGAACAGCAACAGTTCTGCATTCCGATGCCTCCAAACAAGCTGGCTGTGGGGGTTCAAAGAAAATAAAGTCCCTGAATTCAAAATTTGGATGTGACAACTGTTAAATGCCTACCTAGTATCTTAGTCACTTGCTTCTGGAAACTGGAAATCCTGGAAGCAAAATTTTAGAACAGTTTGTCTCATGAGGTATGCTGAAGTTACAGGTTTGGTCAGCGAACATTAAGAGAAATCACACGTACGTGTTCAGGAGTTGATTGGAATGTGTTACTGCACCATGTTACGATTTTTGCACATAGCATTAAACTGCCTTACGAGGCTGGGCGGCATATGCCTGTAATCCTGGCATTTGGGAGGTTGAGGCAGGAGGAGCACTTGAGCTCAGGAGTTGGAGACCAGCCTGGGCAACACAGTGAAACCTTGTCTCTACAAAAAAATTAGCCAGGCATGGTGTGTGCCTGTAGCCCCAGCTACCTGGCGGGGATGAGGTGGGAGGATTGCTTGAGCTCAGGTTGTCAAGGCTGCAGTGAGCCAAGATCACACCACTGCACTCCAGCCTGGGTGACAAACTGAGATCCTGTCTCCAAAAAAATAAAAAGAAACTACCTTACTCATGGAACCACAGGACTAACTCGCTGAACCACACTCATCACCATTTGCCCCTATTTCCAGACGTTATGGTCACCCTGTAGTTTCTAATCTGTATGCCTCTTCCCTCTTCCTTTCCCCACCCTCTTTTCCTTTCCTCTTGCCCTTTCCTAATGTCTGGTTTTTTGGTTTGTTTTGTTTTTTTCGAGACGGAGCCTCACTCTGTTACCCAGGCTGGAGTGCAGTGGCACGATCTCGGCTCACTGCAGCTTCCACCTCCCTGGTTCAAGTTATTCCCCTGCCTCAGCCTCGTGAGTAGCTGGGATTACAGGCGCGTGTCACCATGCCTGGCTAAGTTTTGTATTATGTAGAGACGGGGTTTCATCATGTTGGTCAGGCTGATCTTGAACTCCTGACCTCGTGATCTGCCGGCCTCAGTCTCCCAAAGTGCTGGGATTACAAGCGTGAGCCACCGTGCCTGGCCTCCTAATGTCCGTTTCTATTGGCTGCTTGATCTTGGTCTTTAATGTTCATCCTTAAGCTTGCTTCTCTCTGCAGACTACTGATTCAGCCTCTTGCATTTTCTTTCAACTTGGGCCAAAAAACGGGCAACATTTTCTTTCTCCACTACCTCATCATCCAATTTATTCCTTTAGAGTCTGTTCATATTACCACAAGTCTCCTAAATGTCCCAAAGTCTCCTATTAAGTCTAACAACTTAGCTTCAAACCTCAATTAACCCAAGCACCTGACAACACACTGAAATGTGCAAGCAGGAGTCCCTATGGCCAGGCGCACTGGCTCACGCCTGTAATCCCAACACTCTGAGAGGCCGAGGCAGGCGGATCACGAGGTCAGGAGATCAAGACCATCCTGGCTAACAAGGTGAAACCCTGTCTCTACTAAAAATACAAAAAAATTATCCGGGCGTGGTGGCGGCTCCTGTAGTCCCAGCTACTCAGGAGGCTGAGGCAGGAGAATGGCATGAACCCAGGAGGTGGAGCTTGCAGTGAGTCGAGATCGCTCACTGCACTCCAGCCTGGGTGACAGAGCAAGACTCCGTCGCGCGCACACAAAAAAAGTCCCTACTACCACAGCGTGCTTTCTATTTATTTAGGTATAGAGGCATGTATGCTCTGAGCATGCAGATAAGGGAGCAAAGAAAAAACCAGGAGAGGCTTCACAGAGGCAGGCAATGTGAATTAGGCTTTAAAAGGCAGCAGACATGAAGAAAAGGTGGGTTGCTGGTGGGGGTATGGGGGCATGAACGGAGCGTGTCAAGCATAGGAAACAGCATGGAGACAAGCATAGCTAGATTGTGGACAACCTAGAAGAAAGTGCTTGGAAGTGAGGTTAAGAAGGTAAGTTAGCTGGGGGCAGTGGCTCCCATCTGTAATCTCAGCATTTTGGGAGGCCAAGGCAGGTGGATCACTTGAGGTTAGTTCAAGACCAGCCTGGCCAACACAGCAAAACCCTGTCTCTACTAAAAATACAAAAATTAGCTGGGTGTGGTGGCGGGCACTTGTAATCCCAGCTACTTGGGAGGCTGAGGCAGGAGCATCACTTGAACCCAGGAGCTGGCGGTTGCAGTGAGCCAAGACCATGCCATTGCACTCCGTCTCAGAAAAAAAAAAAAGGTAAGTTAGTACTGGATTGTGAGAGGTACTGTGTACATGATGTCCCCCACCCCAAAGATGTTTATGTCCTCATTCTTGGAACCTGTGAATATAATATGGCAAAGGAGAATTAAGAATGTATAAGAAATTAAAGTTGTTAATTCGCTGACCTTAAGATGGGGAGATAATCCTAGATTATCTGGGTAAGCCCAATGTAATCACAAGGGTCATTAAAAGTGGAAATGAGAGGCAGAAGAGTTCAGAATGATACAATATGAGGATTCCACTGGCCTTTGTTAGATGAAGGGGCCATGAGCAAGGAATATGGGTGGCCTCCAGTCACTGGAAAAGGTGAGGAAATGGATTCCACCCACAGTCTCCAAAGAGGAATCAACACCTTAACTTTAGGCCATGCCAGACTTCTGACCGACAGAACAGTAAGATGGTAAATTTCTGATAAGCCACTAGGTTAAGCAGCAATAGGAAAGCAGCATGTCATGCTGGAATATCTGAACTTCATTCTACAGGTAATGGGGAGTCCTCTTCAATCTGGAAGTATTTGTTTAACATTTACTGTACTATGCTGGGCAGAGGAGACAGACTAGACACGTCTCTGTCTTCCAGCCAAAGGGTGCAGAGAGACTGGAAAAAGGTCCAGTCTGGAGACAGAGTGAAGAAGGAATTAGACAAGTCCAGGTGGGAAAGGAAGATGAAGGGCTGTGTGGATGAACGTTAATAGTTGGGGGCTTGAAATCAGGGGTCAGTATGGTACTCCCCTGTTTCACCAGCCCAGGGCCTATCACATAGGCTTTCGATAAATATTGAGGAAAATAAAAAGATTGTTTGACTGGATATGGAGGGTGAAGGAGAAAAAGGACACCCAGATGATTTTAAGTTTCTGGTTGAATGACTAGATAGGTGAGGCTAGAAGGTCCTCCCATGAGCTGAAACAGAGAACTGAAAAGGTTTACTATATTCTGGGGGTGGGGGAAATACCATAAGTTTCATTTTGAAATCTTAATCAGCTGACTAAATCCTACAAATATTTTTTGAGGACATACTGGATGTGAGGCCTTTGCGAAGAACAGGCAAGAAAATAATCATGGTCTCCGATTTCAAGGGGCTTACATTCTAGTGGAAAACGGTGCACACATAATTTTTAAAAGGATGTGATGAGATATGTAAATGAGGAAGATCTGTGAGATTGAGGGGCAACTGGAAATGTATGGAAGGCAGACGAGAGACTGGGATGAGAGAGACATTTGAAAATCACCAGGAGAATGTGGGATTAGAAGTCATGACAACAAACAAGTGTTCACGGAGTAGGTGGCATGGGGACAGAAGCCTCAATGACAGGACTTCGGGGGTAACGACGTGAGAAAATGGAGCGAGGGATCCACTGCTAACTAGTTTCTGTCCCATGACACTGTGTAACTGCTCTCTGTGTCTGGACCTCTGTGCTCAACTTTTTAGCATGTATTATGCCTACTCATCCCTATTTTCTCAAGACCCTTCTACTTTTTGAGGGAGGAAAAAAACCCCGCCACTCTTTGTTCCATCTGTTTTCTTGGAAGACTGTAATGCCAACACTATGCTGAGCCTAAGGCAGGGTGAACTCTTTCATCCCCTTCTAAATAACCTTGACATCATCCAACGAGTCTGAACTGCCTTTGGGATGCTGAGAAACAGAAATGTAGTTTTGAGACCTTTTACGTATTTCATAACTCCTGCAGAAGATTTCACACCAAAAACGATGTCCCAGAGTGAGATGGGAATGAAATAAACAATTAGCTTGCTCAGATTACTCCAATTGATTAATTAACATTATTCTGGAATAGTTGAATCACTCAATTCAAACCTGAGTAATTCAAGTTTTGGGTGCTACTATAAACAGTATTTTTAAAGTTTCATTTTCCAATTGTGTATTGGTACTATAATGAAAGATAACCATTTTTTATACATTGATCTTGAAACCTTGATAAACTCAACTTATTCTGGTAGCTGCTTTGTAGATTCTTTCAGGTCTTCTACATACAAGATCATGCTGCCTGTAAATAAATTCAGCTCTAGTTCTTCCTGTAGGAGACTTTATCTTACTTTATTATTTTTTTGGAGAAATGTCTTACTGTGTCACCCAGGCTGGAATACAGTCGTGCAATCTCAGCTCATTGGAACCTTCGCCTCCCATGTTCAAGTGATTCTTGTGCCTCAGCCCCTCATGTACCTGGGATTATAGGCATGTACCACTATGCCTGGCTAATTTTTGTATTTTTAGTAGAGACTGGGTTTTACCATGTTGGCCAGGCTGGCCTCGAACTTCTGGCCTCAAGCCATCCTCCCACCTTGGCCTCCCAAAGTGCTGGGATTACAGGCATGAGCCACCACGCCCGGCCCTATAGGAGATTTTAAATCTTGGGGATATAGATGGAGCCACCCGTGAAAGACTGGTGGTGTGTCTGGGTGACACTGCTTATGGCTTTCTCCACAGGTGTAGGGTGCCAGGGACTTCGATTCTTCCAGCTGCTCATGTGCAGAGGCATAGATGTGAACCCCTTCATGGAGGGACTCAATCTCAAATTGGCCCCGACACCAGAATGAAGAGTACATTTAGTAGAGGCAGAAGGGGCTTGGGCAGCCTGCTTGTTCTCACAGGTGTCCTTTCTATACCTGCAGTTGATCTCAGCCATGAAACAGCTGACCACTTAGTTGTCAAGGTATTCTTCACTCAGGTGGGTATCCTCAGTTGTAGACTTGACTTCAGCAATTCCATCTTGAATACTAAGGATGGACAGATCTAACAAATGCCACCCAGGTCAAAGATCAGATCATCAATTTTGCCATTAACGTTCTCGTCCAAGCCGAGAGCAGTGGCATTTGGCTTGCTGACAGTTCAGAACACAATGAGATCAGCAATGGTTCCACCGTCTTTGATGGCCTGAAGCTGGCAACCATTAAAGTAATTGTTAGTATGAGGATCATGCGGGTCAGTGATCATAAAGTAGGTTTCTAGAATTTTCTCCATCTTTTTCAAAACCACTGTGGTAGGCAGATTTCTAAGATGTCACCCAAAGACTCCCCGCCTCTTGGTGTTCACCTTTGTGTAATCCCCTACCCTCGAGAGGAGGCTCAGCCTCATAACTTGCCTTTTTTTTTTTTTTTTTTTGAGACGAAGTTTTGCTGTTTCACCCGGGCTGGAGTGAAGTGACACGATCTTGGCTCACTGCAACCTCTGCCCCCTTGGGTTCAACTGATTTTCCTGCCTCAGCCTCCCAAGTGGCTGGGATTACAGGCGTCCGCCACTGTGCCCAGCTAATTTTTGTATTTTTAGTAGAGACAGGGTTTCACCATGTTAGCCAGGCTGGCCTTGAACTCCTGACCTCAGGTGATCCACCCACCTAGGCCTCCCGAAGTGTTGAGATTACAGGCGTGAGCCACCATGCCTGGTCATAACTTGCTTTAAAGAAAAAAATTTTTTTTAAAGAGATGGAGTATCACTATGTTGACCAGGCTGGTCTTGAACTCCTGGCCTCAAGTGATCCTCCCATCTCAGCCTCCCAAAGGGCTAGGATTACAAGCAAGAGCCACTGCACCCGGCCCTAACTTGTTTTTAACAAAGAGAGCACAGCAAAAGTGATGGGATGTGACTTCTGTGATGAGGTTGCAAAAGAGTGTGACTTCTGTTTTACTATCATTCTCTTCCTGACAGTCACTCTTCCTCTCTGTATTAGTCCAGTCTCTCATTGCTATAAAAAAATACCTGGGACTGGCAAATTTATAAAGAAAAGAGGCCTAATTGGCTCATGGCTCTGCATGGTTCTACAGGAAGCATGATGCTGGCATGTGCTTGGTTTCTGGGGAAGCCTCCAGAAACTTACAATCATGGTGAGAGGTGAAGGGAGAGCAGGTACTTTACATGGCATAAGCGAGAGCAAGAGAGCGAGGGGAGATGCAGGTGCTACACACTTTTAAACAACCTCGCCAGAACTCACTATCACGAGAACAGCACCACTGTTAAGCACATGGTGCTAAACCACTCATGAGAAATCTACCCTGATGATCCAGTCACCCCCTACCAGGACCTACCTCCAACACGGGGCATTACAATTTGACACAAGATTTGAGCAGGGATACAGATCTAAGCCATATCACTCCCCTACTTGTTCATTCCAGTGAAGCACGCTGCCACATTGTGAGATGCTCTATGGAGAAGCCTCTGGACAACAGCTTATGAGGAATTGAGGCCTCAATCTAAGAGCCTGAGAAGAACCAAATCCAGCCAATAACCACGAGTGAACTAGGAAGTGAATCTCTGAGATGACTGCAGCCTTGTGAGAAAAACAGCATCAGAGGACCCAGCTAAGCTGCACCGATTCCTGACCCACAAAAACTGAGATAGTAAGTGGTGTTTCATTTCTTTTTTTTTTTTTTGGGAGATGGAGTCTCACTCGTGCAGTAGTGCAGTCTCAGCTCACTGCAACCTCTGCCTCCTGGGCTCAAGTGATTCTCGTGCCTCAGCCTCCAGAATCAGCTACTTGGGACTACGGGCGCATGCCGCCATGCCTGACTAATTTACGGGGTTTCACCACGTTGGCCAGACTGGTCTTGAACTCCTGGCCTCAAATGATCTGCCTGCATCGGTCTACCAAAGTACTGGGGTAACAGGTGTGAGCCACCGTGCCCAGCCAGTAAGTGGGTGTTTCAGTCCACCAAGTTTTGGGGTAATTTGTTACACAGGAATAGCTAACACAACCACAGAAAATACCTCATCTGTATAAAGCTTTTAGTATTCCTCTGTTGCCTCCTCTGGATCTTCAGCCTGTGTGCACAGTCGACAACCAAGAAAGTCCAGTGCTTTTCATGTTTGACCAGATAATTGATTGTCAAATCGGTGTCTAGTTAGACCTTTGGTATCTAAAACTGTATTGATGGAGTCCACTGAATTTGATTCCTAAACCATCACTAATCAATCTTTCTGTGTCAGCTAAGAGCAACACAGCTTGGTTTTCTTGCCCTGACCAGTGGTGATGATCTCTACTGTCCTGTGCTGGAAGACACCTACAGAGGAATAGGTGGTACCAAGATGAGTGACAACTGCAGATACCTTTGATGTGGTTTTGCAAGGGGCAGTGTCTCACTTAGAGGAAAAAAGTGTAGACACTAAAGTGGAACACAGCATTCAATAAGTCATGGTAGGGTTTTGAAATTATAAATCATGTATTTTTTATTTTTATTTTTTGAGACAGGGTCTGGCTCTGTCACCTAGACTGGGATGTAGTGGCATGATCATGGCTCACTGCAGCCTCAAACTCCTGCACTAAAGCAATCCTCCTGCCTCAGCCTCCCAGGGTAGCTGGGACTACAGGCACATGCCATTATACCTGGCTAATTTTTTTAAAAAACGTTTAGTAGAAATGAGGTCTCACTGTGTTTCCCAGGCTAATCCTTTATTTTTGATGTGATACAAAGTGAATGTGGGGATTGGTAGGAAATATGATTGAAAAAGGGATACAATAGGAAGGACCTTGTATATTAAGCCAGAACACTTGAGGCAATGAGGGAAACTGGAGGTATTAAAATTAGTTGGAGGGAATAAGAAAAGACAATCAGTAGACACTAACATCAAGAGGTATCTGAGGTTAGGTATTATCAGATGATATTAGAGCAACCATCATAAAAATGATTCAATAAGCAATTCTGAACACATTTGAAACAAATGAAAAAGCAGGAAGTCTCTGCAAAGAAACAGAAGATACAAAGACAAAAACATGGAAATTTTAGAACTAAAAAATACAATAAATGAAATAAAAAACTCAATGATGGGCAGCAGAATGAATGTAACAGAGGAAGGAATCAATGAACTAGAAGATGAAACAAAGGAAACTACCCAGTCTTAACAGAGACAAAATATACTGGAAAAGAAGTGAACAGAGCCTCAAAGGCTTTGTGAAATGATAAAAGATAAAATGCACATGTCATGGAATTATGAAAGATTTCCTATCAGAAACCATGGAGGTCAGAAGAAAGTGGCATGGCATTTTTCACGTGCTGAAAGAAAGAAAACTGTCCACCCAGAATCCTATTTCTAGGAACTATCCTTCAGGAATGAAGAGAAAATTAATACACTCTCAGATGAAGACAAACTAAGAGAATCTGTCTCACTAGACTTACCTTAAAAGGATGGCTAAATAAAGTTCTTGGAGAAAACAAAACAAAACAAAAAACAGTAAGAGAAATCTATCAGAAGGAAAAAAGAACAGAAAGGATAAAAACATGGGTACATACAATAGACTTTTCTTAGTTTTCTAAATTATGTTTGATGGTTGAAGCAAAAATTATAACATTATCTGATGAAGTTTCCTATGTCTGCAGAAGAATAGTTAAGAAAATTATAAATAGGGAAGGGTAAAGGAATATAGAAGAAATAAGGATTCTTTTTTTTTTCTGCATCCAATCACCCATCAGGGAAATAGATTCTATACTTCATTTAATCTGCAAGATGTTGAAATCAGTAGATTGTAATAAGTTATATACATATGATGTAATAACCAGAGCAACTACTAAATATCTATGCAAAGAGATATACTAAAAAATAACATCAAAATGAAATACCAGAAAATGTTTCAGTAACCACAGGAAGACAGGAACTTTGATACAAGCAACAATTTGGAAGGATCCAAGTTGAGGGCATTATGCTCCATGAAAAAAGCCAGTTAAAAAGTCACATGCTGTATGACTCTATATAACATCCTCAAAATGACAAAATTATGGAGATGGAGATTACTCACTGCCAGGGGTTAGGGACAGTCTGGGTAGGGGGAGGGTGGTGTGACTATACAGGGTAGCATGAGGAAGAACTGTGTGGTGATAAAATAGCTTTGTGTCTTTTTGTTTTACTTTTTTGAGATGGAGTCTCGCTGCGACACCCAGGCTGGAGCGCAATGGCACGATCTCAGCTCACTGCAACCTCCACTTCCTGGGTTCAAGCAATTCTGCTGCCTCAGCCTCCCGAGTAGCTGGGACTACAGGCATGCACCACCACACCCAGCTAATTTCTGTATTTTTAGTAGAGACAGGGTTTCACCATATTGGCCAGGCTGCTCTCGAACTCTTGGCCCCAAGTGATCTGCCCACCTCTGGCCTCCCAAAGTGCTGGGGTTACAGGCGTGAGCTACTGCACCTGGCACAGTTGTGTCTTGATCGTGTGGTTGCATGGATCTATAGATGTGGCAAAATGTCACAGAACTATGTGTACACATTATACTAACGTCAATTTTCTGTTTTCTATGCTCTTTCCACATGTGGTCTACCTCCATCACTACAGCTTTTTTTTTTTTTTGACGCAGTCTCACTCTGTCACCCAGGCTGGAGTGCAGTGGCTCAATCTCAGCTCACTGCAACCTCCGCCTCCTGGGTTCAAGTGATTCTCTGGCCTCAACTTCTTGAGTAGCTGGGACTACAGGAGCATGCCACCATGCCTGGCTAATTTTTGTATTTTGAGTAGAGACAGGGTTTCGCCATGTTGGCCAGGCTGGTCTCAAACTTCCGACCTCAGGTGATCCACCCACCTTGGCCTCCCAAAGTGCTGGGATTTCTTGATACACGTCTCTCTTCTCGACTTTGCTTCTGCCCTTCTAAATGCCTATATGATGGAGCTAATTGGATATCTTGTTGCTACTCTAATCTCAGCATCTCCTCTCTGACCTCTCATTGTTTTTCCACCTTTCTACTTGTCACCTCTAGGCAAACATCAGTCATCCCCTATTCTTCCTTCTCCATGGTCTGCCATTACCTATCACTTGTCTTATATGATTCTTCCTTAAATTTATTTCTATTCTCACTGTCACCATGACAGATCAGGGGCAGTCAGGAACTCTTGCTTGATACTTGACAAGAACTTCCCGATGGACCATTAGGCTTCCAAACTCTCATCTTATTCACCAACCTTATCTAGTCTGTACAGCTAGTATCAGAAGATTCTTTGACACAAAAAATTGAAAAGTGACAGTATAGAGGACAAGAAGGGGAAATATAGAGATTTGAATGGAAGTCAAACAAGATATTTCTCTGCAAGCAGTTAAACATTCAGTTTACAGGCAACAGTGTGTCTTTTTCTCTCATTAACAGTGCAAAATACATACCTTAACTCTTCGGGCAATGCTAAGGAATTGACATGTTTTATCATAAAGTCCTTCCAGGTTTTCTCTGTCCCAGTAGAAATCAGGAGTAATCAAGAAGTCTGAACTCAAGTTTATACGGTGCCTTTAAAAAAGGGAAAATTATAACTTTTTATTTATCTTGAATTAAAAATCATTGTTTCTATTATATTTAATATTTACATGGTGCTTTATGAAAACTTTTTTTTTTCTTTTCTTTTTAAGAGAGAGGGTCTCGCTATGTTACCCGGGATGGAGTGCAGTGGTGATCACAACTCACTGCAACCTGTGAGCTCAAGCTGTCTCCTGCCTCCCATGTAGCTGGAACTACAGGCATCTGGCTGAAAACACGTGTTAACACTGACCTTTGCAAAATACTTCCAACAAATGTGTAAATAACATTTACAAATGGGTTTCGAAATTCTGAACCAAATTAATTCAATCTTTAATACCAACGTTATTTATGAAGTAGACAGAAAAAAACTCATTTTGTTTTCAATTTTTATTTTTATTTTTTTTGAGACAGAGTCGCTCTTGTCACCCAGGATGGAGTACAATGGCATGATCTCAGCTCACTGCAACCTCCGCCTCCCAGGTTCAAGTGATTCTCCTGCCTTAGCCTCCCAGTTAGCTGGGATTACAGGTGCCCACGCCCGGCTAATTTTTGTATTTTTTAGTAGAGACAGGGTTTTACCAAGTTGGCCAGGCTGGTCTTGAACTCCTGACCTCACGTGATCTGCCCACCTCAGCCTCCCAAAGTGCTGGGATGACAGGCGTGAGCCACCATGCCCAGCCTAAGCTTTTTTTCTTAAAAATTTTATGGCCAGGCATGACAGCTCATGCCTGTCATCCCAGCACTCTGGGAGGCCAAGGCAGGCGGATTGCTCGAGTCCACGAGTTCGAGACCAACCTGGACAGCATGGCGAAACCCTATCTCTACAAAAAAATACAAAAACTAGCCAGGTGTGGTGGTGCATGCATGTAGTCCCAGCAACTTGGGAGGCTGAGGTGGAAGGATCACTTGAACCTGGGAGGCAGAAGGTGCAGTGAGCCAAGATTGTGACACTGTACTCCAGCCTGGGCAACAGAGTGAGACCCCATCTCAAAAAAAAAAAAATTTAATATGTACACACTTTTTTGTTTTTTATTAAAAAATTTTTTTTAGAGATAATGTCTTCACATGTCACCCACTTTGGAGTGCAGTGACAAAATCATAGCTTATTGCAGCCTCAAACTCCTGGGCTCAAGTGATCTTCCTCCCTCAGCCTCCTGAGCAGATCAAGAAGATATAAACAGGTAAAAATTGATAAATCTTACTCTTATTCTTATCTGTATCTTTCCCTATCAGTAGTCCCTTCTAGTTTCCTCTGTATCCTTCCAGTGTTTATGCAAACACTAGACAGGCAAGCATACACATACACACTCTCCCTCTTAATTTCTACATTTTAATATAAGAAGTCTGTGCTTACTTTTTTTTTTGAGACAGAGTTTCGTTCTTGTTGCCCAGGCTGGAGGGCAATGGCACGATATCAGCTCACTGCAACCTCCACCTCCCGGGTTCAAGCAATTCTCCTGCCTCAGCCTCCCGAGTAGCTGGGATTACAGGCATGTGCCACCACGTCTAGCTAATTTTGTACTTTTAGTAGAGACAGGGTTTCTCCATGTTGGTCAGGCTGGTCTCGAATTCCTGACCTCAGGTGATCCACTGGCCTCGGCTTCCCAAAGTGTTGGGATTACAGGTGTGAGCCACCATGCCCGGCGTTTTTCTTTTTTGAGACAGAATCTTGCTCTGTTGCCCAGGCTGGAGTGCAGTGGTGTGATCCTGGCTCACTGCAACCTTTGCCTCCTGGGTTCAAGCAATTCTCGTGCCTCAGCCTCCCAAGAAGCTGGGATTATAGGCGCACACCACCACTCCTAGCTAATTTTTGTATTTTTGGTAGAGATGGGGTTTCATCATGTTAGCCAGGCTGGTGTCAAGCTCCCGGCCTCAAGCAATCCACCTGTCTCAGCCTCCCAAAGTGCTGGGATTACAGGTGTGAGCCACTGCGCCTGGTCTTACACTTAGATATTTAACGAAATAAAAATCTAAGTTATAAAAGTACACATAAGCTGATGTGGTGGCTCATACCTGTAATCCCAGCACTTTGGGAGGCCAAGGGAGGAGGATGGCTTGAGCAAGGGTTTGAGACACTGTCTCTATAAATAATTTTTAAAATTAGCTGGATGTGGTAGATCACTCCTGTGGTCCCAGCTACTCACAAGGGTGAGGCAGGAGGAATCCCCTGAGCCCGGGAGATCAAGGCTTCAGTGACCTATGATCATGCCACTGCACTCTAGTCTGGGTGACAGGACGAGACCCTAACTGGAAAAAAAAAAAAAGTAACACATACATACTATGTTCATGATTAAAAAAAAAAAGGAAACTATCCTAGAGAAGGATTCAGAAAAATAGTGATAGGCCCTCTTATGCTACCACACGACTCAAAGCCTTTATTCTCCCCAAGGACAGGCCTGTAGAGACACTTTGCTGGGTCCTTCCAGATCTTTCTGTATTCATACATGCATGTATGTGCAAGCAAATACATGTATATGTGTGTGCATATAAAGATAAACATGAATATTTTTATTTGCTTACACAAATGGGATCATACCCTATATAAATTTAGATTTAGTTTTTTAATCAAATATTTGCCACGTTTATTTTCACAGATGTATCACATTCTTTGTATTAACAAATAAGCATTTTTATTGTACAAGTAAGAAAACAGGATAATAAAAGTAAGCCTTTATAGAAACTATTCACAAACCTACGTATATTTAGTCCTAACTATTCAGTTTGGATATTATAATTCTCTAATATCAAATTCTACTTGCATGACCAAGAGAACAGGAGAGAAGAATCTCTGTACCCTACTTCTCAGAGAATCTGAGGCTTCAGATGTGCTACAGGATGCTCCTGATGGATGGGTTTTTAATTTTTGCTGGTTCCCTGAACTAGAGGTCCTGAGCTATGAGAGATACATAGACAATGAAACACTGTACTACTTCTCTCCAGGCAGAGCGTCTAAGAAGAATGTGGAAAAACAAGTCTTTAGGTGAACATTTGCAATGAGCTCTGGTAACTCATTCCACATGCTAGAAGCGATAAACTGGACAATGCTGCCTGTGAGAAAAACACCAACATCTGGGATGTTTCATTCCATAAATCCTGGGACAACTACAAGAATAAAATAAGCTGAAAACCTTTTCAGACACTTATTTAAATGATTCATCAGTTTTTAGACATAGTTATTCCCATTTTAACATCTCAAGGCATCTTAAAATTAATGGTGTCTGACAGGTGGCAGTTGAGACTTACTTGTCTTTGCCTTAAATAATTTATTTTCTTATGCTCTCCTTTTCATATATGCCTAAGAGGGAATGTGATATAATTTATATCCCGCTAAGACTAAAAGCTATTTCAGTAAGTGTAAAATTTTAATCCTCTGATAAAAAAAAGTATTGTCATAGTTTAACTGGCAGCAGTTTTTCTCTCCAGTGGCATCTTGGTGTCTCAGATTCAAAGAAACTTTTCTGTAGCAATTAGGTCTAGTTAGCATTAGGATGCAGTGATACAGTTTTACAGAGAATTCCCATTAACCAAATTCAGGAATATGTCTTTCTACCTTCAGAGAACATCTACTGTGTTCCTTAATGTGGGTTTAATGTAGATGAATCGTGATCTCTTTTGCACATGCATAATTTCTTTCAGTACAGTCTTAACATAGCCCAACTACTTCTAATGGGTAAGAGTTCTCCCTGCTTATAACCAATGAAATGAAAACAGCTACAATTCCCATAAAGGTGTAAATGTTTGCTCTTTACCACAGAACTATGGGAATGTTTTCTTGAGATTTGTTAAATATATGAAATATTTTATTTAGAGAGAAAACTTTTACCTTAAGGCAAAGAGTTCCCCGATTTTCTGCATGACTTCTTCATGAGATAGTTTCACTTTCTTCCCAGCTTTTAAAGCCTAGTTGAGAGGGAATCAAAAAACCAAGAAACCATGTATCTCTCTAATAAGCATTTGGTCAACAGGGCAAAATCTGAAGTGGCACAATATGGATCCTATGTAAATATTTTTTAAGATGGCTGTCTCCCAGATTAATTCTTAACTCACCTTGAAATTTCATAACTTTATTAGGTAGAAATTGTATATTCTCTTTTTTAATTTCCCTTCTCATCAGCATTTCATATGAGATATACATTCCTAATCTCTTAGTGGAAAAGCAGGGCCTCCTTTCCGAAGTATAATTAGATTACTCTTTCACAATAAAGATAGTTAATTACAATAAAATGATTTTTAATGTATACTGAAATGTTAATATAACTTTATATGTATTTTTCATGCCACTATTTTTCTCATAATTTATCAAACACTTTCTTAAATCAGAAAAGTGGTCATAATTTCCTTTCTTAGAGAGGAAACATTTCACTTTTTTCTTTAATTCAGTTACATTAAAAATACTGCAACTGATGGGCATGGTGGCTCACGGCCTGTAATGCCAGCACTTTGGGAGGCCGAGGCTGGAGGATTGCTTGAGCCCAGGAGTTCGAGACCAGCCTGGGCAACATGGCCAGACCCCATTTCAATTATATTAATATTAAAAAAAAAAAATACTGCACCAACAGAGGAAAACAATTTGAAGTTTTAAAAAGTAAAAAATAATCAATATGAAGTTTCTTATTTTGCCATTTTACATGCAACTGGGAGTTCTAGTTTGCTTAAGTTTAGTGTAGCTTTCTTATTGTTTATAATAATTTTGTTGTACTCCTAAACAATCGGCCCTCTATAAGTTCTGCAACTGCAGATTCAACCAACTGCAAATTGACAATATTTAGAGAAAAAAGAATGGCTGCATCTGTACTTAACATGTACAAACTGTTTTTTCTTGTCATTATTTTCTAAACAATACAGTATAACAACTATTTACATAGTATTTATATTATATTAGGTATTATAAGTAATCTAGAGATGGTTGAAAGTATACGGGAGGATATGCATAGGTTATAGGCAAATATTTACCGTTTTATATCAGGGACTTGGGCATTGGTAGATTCTGGTATCCAGTGGGGTCTTGGAACAAATCTCCCATGGATACTGAGGGACAACTATGTATTGTTATATTGGGAAATTCATATTTTTTCCATATAAAAATCAATCCTTGAATAAGCATAAAATTGATATAATTACCTCAGGAATTGACTGAATAGATTCAATAAATTTATCCAGTGATGCTTCCCAAATTGCCAGTTTTACTGGGAAAAAAATTAATAATGGAACATTTCTTTATCATCATATTCACATTTATATAAAATATGTAATTGCATAGTATCTTCACTACTATTTCAATAATAGGTTAAGAAAAAGTACTTGGAAAAAAAAAACCTTGAAAATATAACTTGAGAACAGTTAATTATCATAAAGGACAGAATTAAAGTGGATAGAGGAGACTGAATCGCTTTCCATGAACTGTTGGTAGACCAAAACTACGTTTAGTAGAATTCTTGATTTTCTAATATTACATCTTGGAAAGTGAGGAGGGTAGGGTACAGCTTGATACCATGGGTAGCTCTGCAGGAGGGACTAAGACTTTCCTGGCCTCTCCTTTACTCCTCAGGACGAGGACTAAACCTCAGAAATCTCCGAAGCCCCTCAGGGTGGGAAGGACGGGATGCCTCAGCAGCCATCTAAGGTAGACTGCTGGCGAAAGAAATTCTTAAAGAACTTCTATAGTTTTATTCGGGACATGGATCTTTCAGAACAAACTTACAGCCACTGTGACTCTGGGTCCCATTGCTATGAAACTAGGAGTATGTTTTTCTATACCGGGACCTGTGCCCAGTCACACAAGGCTGGGCATCTCTGTCTGGATTAGAGACTAAGAATAACAATTTCATAGAGAGAAGAGAAAAAAACAAAAGCTAATATAATCGTCTAAAAACTACTTTTGGAAAGGTTAAGCTTTATTAATACAATTAATAAGGAATGAGTAACTTCAGCACAGTACTACCTTTTATACCAGATATTTTTTCTGACGGAGGCAAAAAAAGGAAAAGGAATGCTAAGCCTTTGTTGAGTATTCTGAAAATATACTTCAAAAATCGTTACTACATATTTAAACTTCCCTCAATGAAATGACAGCTGTAATGCCCTATCCTATAAGCAGTAGGAACTTACCAGAAAGGCAGAGAGCATTGGAGAAAGCAAACTTCTCTAGAATGGCATCATCTAAATCCAGCTCTGAATTTAACTTGATTTCCCCCCTGTGAAGTTTTGACTGTCCCCTGTGAAAAGCAAAAAGATAATACCTTCTAAACTTAAAAAGCACTTTAACTTTTCCTTTGAAAAAGACATCATATCATCTTTCTGGAGGTCATTTTGACAATTTGTATCAGGAGTGTTACAAATGTTCTCATACCCTTTGGTCCAAGTAATTCCCTCTCTATATCCTAAGGAAATAATCTAAGATGCAAAGAAAAATTTGTGCACAAGAAAACTTTTTTTTTTGAGACAGAGTCTCACTGTGCCGCCCAGGCTAGAGTGCAGTGGTGCAATCTCAGCTTACTGCAACCTCTGTCTCCTGGGTTCAAGTGATTCTCCTGCCTCAGCCTCCCCCATAGCTGGGATTACAGGCGTGCGTCACCATGCCCAGCTAATTTTTTTTGTATTTTTAATAGAGATGGAATTTCACCATGTTGGCCAGGCTGATCAATTTCCTGACCTCAAATGATCCACCCACCTCGGCCCCCCAAAGTGGTGTGATTACAGGCGTGCGCCATCTTGCCTAGCTGAAAACTTTAAAAAATGGTCAGTGTTTAAGAATAAAAAATTAGGAAAGAAACCAAATGTTCAGTAGGGGTTGGCTCAGTAATAGTCACTCCACACAAGAAAAACTTAAAAGTGTGCTGTGGAAGGATAGTTAATAAAAAGGAGAACGTTCACAGTAAATTTCTATGTGAAAAAATGCTCCATATAAAACTATATATGGAGTGTAATCTAAACTCACACTGACATGGTGGGGTTGGGGAGGGAGACAAATAAGTTGTGAAAATGAATATGTGACTGTGGAGAACCCTGGACAGGGGACGGGGGAAGAGGGGAATGTGTGAATATAAACATCACAAGTAAATGGAAAAAATACAGGGTAAACCTTCACAAAAGATGTCAGACAAGAAGAGATGGCCAAAGGGAGGGGAACAAGGGGCCTGATGGAGGGCTGAGAGGCGGTATCTGCTATGACAGCCTCAGATGGAGGAAGGAAAGCAAAGACAGCAGTCACGAGAGGTTTTTTGTTTGTTTGTTTTTTTCCTTGAGACGGAGTCTCGCTCTGTCGCCCAGACTGGAGTGTAGCGGCATGATCTTAGCTCACTGCAACCTCCGCCTCCTGCATTCAAGCGACTCTCCTGCCTCAGCCTCCTAAGGTAGACTGCTGGGATTGCAGGCATGCACCACCACACCCTGCTAATTTTTATATTTGTAGTAGAGACAGGGTATCATCATGTTGGCCAGGCTGGTCTCGAACTCCTGATCTCAAGTGATCTGCCCACCCTGGCCTTCCAAAGTGTTGGGATTACAGGCATGAGCCACTGTGCTCGGCCACAAGAGGCTTTATGAGTGAGCTTGGCCCATGCCACAGAGCTGAGCAGATCCCTGGAATCGTGGCAGAACTCAAATAATAACCATGTAGGTGGCAGCCAGGACAGTGTTTCTGATGAAACAAAATAGCTGACTGGGACCCTAAGCACTGAGGATTTTACTCCTCACAGACTGTGCGGATAAGCGCACACACACACACAAGGGTCTAGTAAGCAGTAGTTTGATATGGAAGTATTAGGTTGGTGGAAAAGTCATCACGGTTTTTGCCATTGTAATGTAAACCTAATAGAACACAGAAAGGGGATTCATAGGTGCCATATCTGCAGGCCAAGGGCTGAATAACCACTAAAGATAACAAAACTACAGGCTGCTCATTTGCTGTCTCTCTCAGGTTTACATTCTTACCTCTGACTGCAGCCGCCACTGGGCTCAGGCTGACTCACAGTCAGGTGCCCTTTGGCAAGACAGGATTCAATAAATCTCATCTGAAAGCCAGTTAGCTGCAATTATAGGGTTTTTCTCAGGATTAAATGAAATAATGCACGGAAGGCACTTATTTAGAAAACTGTGGCTGGGTGCGGTGGCTCACACCTGTAATCCCAGCCCTTTGGGAGGCTGAGGTGGGTGGATCATGAGGTCAGGAGTTCAAGACCAGCCTAGCCAAGATGGTGAAACCCCATGTCTACTAAAAATACAAAAATTAGCCAGGCATGGTGGCAGGCGCCTGTAATTCCAGCTACTCGGGAGGCTGAGGCAGAGAACTGGTTGAACCCAGAGGTGGAGGTTGCAGTGAGCTGAGATCACACCACTGCATTCCAGCCTGGGTGACAGAGAGAAGCTCTGTCTCAAAAAACAAAACAAAACAAAAAGCCAACAACAAAAAACCGTGACTGGCCCTATTGGTGCTAAGTGCTGATTACTCAGCTTTTATCCCCATCTGGTCTTTCTATAGCTAGTCTCTGTCTCTCTTCCAAATCTTCCCAAAGCTCTGCTTTTAACGCTTTTTCTTTTTCTTTTTTTTTTTTTTGAGACAGTGTCTCACTCTGTTGCACAGGCTGGAGTGCAGTGGTGCGATCTCGGCTCATGACAACCTCCGCCTCCCAGGTTCAAGCAATTCTCCTCCTCCGCCTCCCAAGTAGCTGGGATCAGACGCCTGCCACGACACCTGGGTAATTTTTGTATTTTTAGTAGAGATGGGGTTTCACCATGTTGGCCAGGCTGTCTTGAACTCCTGACTCAGGTGATCTTCCCACCCTGGTCTCCCAAAGTGCTGAGATTACAGGTGTGAGTCACCGTATCTGGCCAACACTACCTTTCTTAAGAACTTGCAAAGACTCATATTCCACTGGACAGGTAATTCCATGAGGAAAAAGACACTACCATCTTGTTCATACTGCCTCTGTCTCAGCCCTAACATCTCTTCATTTTTTCCCTCTGGCTGAGTTAGGAAAATCAGCTAGAACATTGCCTACCCATACATCTTAGTGAAAATGGTACATCAGGTCCCACTTCTTCCAGCACCCACACCTCTACAAGTGGGTCTCTCAGATTGCCCCTTACTATACTTCCTTTTTATACCACCCCCACCCCAAAATCAATAGGAAAAAACTGGATTAAGAGAAAATTTACTAGAATAATTTGATAGGTTCATTTGATAAAAGGATACTATTTTATTGGATTATGCTGCTTAGAAACTTAAAATTTCCATTTTGGGGCTATACTATTGACTTGTTTTAACTTGTGGATAGCCTGAGAAGTTCAAAAAATTACGTTTATCTTCTAATATTTATTAAATGGTTTAGACTTTGTATTTGTACCAGTAACCTTTTTCTTTTTTTTTTTTTTTTTGAGATGGAGTTTCACTCTCGTCACCCTGGCTGGAGTGCAATGGTGCGATCTGGGCTCACTGCAACCTCCGCCTCCCGGGTTCAAGCAATTCTCCTGTCTCAGCCTCCCGAGTAGCTGGGATTACAAGCTCCCACCACCATAACTAGCTAATTTTTGTATTTTTTAGTAGAGATCGGGTTTTCCATGTTGACCAGGCTGGTCCTGTACCCCTGACCTCAGGTAATCCACCTGCCTCAGCCTCCCAAAGTGCTGGGATTATAGGTGTGAGCCACTGTGGCTGGCCACTTTTTTCTTAAAATGAAGTTTCCATGCAAAGTCCAGTGGCTCACACCTGTAATCCCAGCACTTTGAGAAGTTGAGGCAGGCAGATCACAAGGTCAAGAGATCGACACCATCCTGGCCAACATGGTGAAACCCCGTCTCTACTAAAAATACAAAAAACTAGCTGGGCGTGGTGGTGCACGCCTGTAGTCCCACCTACTTGGGAGGCTGAGGCAGGAGAATTGCTTGAACCCGGGAGGCAGAGGTTGCGGTCAGCCGAGATCGCACCACTGCACTCCAGCCTAGGTGACAGAGCAAGACTGCGTCTCAAAAAAAGAAAAAAGTTTCCATATGCATAATAATTTGTCTCCTCTACTGCTTTACCTAATTTATTCCAAGTGCCCCTTTCATAAATTTGATGAAAAGCTGCTTACTCTGTTTTTATGTAGTTAAGTTCTTCATTTTCCCAGTGTACCAGTGCGATTTCATAGGGCTGAATTTCATGTTTTTCTAGAACTTTCATCACATGCTTCATCTAGAAGAAAAGGAAGATTAACTTGAAATCATAACTGACTCCCTCAGTTCAAGTATGTTATGATTTTAATGCTTATAACAGTCTTCATTACACTTACAGGCATTATTTCTGTTGCATGTTTTTAAGGAAAAGGCAAATCAAATCCATTGCGATACTAAAGTAATCAGGATGACATGTTCATTTGTTTTTACATTTGGAAAACACAGATGAGAATGGAAAAGAAAATCAAAGTTATCATTATCCCACAACCCAAAGAAAATCACCAGTAATATTATAATTTGTATTCTTTAAATCTCTTTAATAATCCCAGCACTTTGGGAAGCAGAGGCATGTGGATCCTTGAGCTCAAAAATTCAAGACCAGCCTGGGCAACATGGCGAAACCCTGTCTCTACAAAAAAATACAAAAATTATCTGGGTGTGGTGGCACACACCTGTAGTCCCAGCTACCTGAGAGGCTGGCTTGAGCCTGGGAGGTGGAGGTTGCAGTGAGCCAATATCAGGCCACTGCACTCCAGCCTGTGTGACAGAGCAAGACCCTATCTCAAAAAAAAAAAAAAAAAAAAAAAAAAGTAAAGCCCAACATACTGATAAAAAATTAAGCCACATAGGTGTGGGAAGTGATCATCTCTTTCTCTCTGCCCTACTGAAATCCTAATCCCCAGAGGCAACCATGATTCAATTTGGTGCATATCCTTCCAGACTTTTTATGTATATATATGTACCTATTTATGCTGCTTTTTATGTAAAATAGGATCATATTATGCACATGAACATTTTCAACACTATTTTCCTTACAAGGGAACTGCAATTTATTTAACCAACCTAGGTGTATCCTCTATGGGAAATTTTTCCTACTCTCTACTATTACAATGTTGCAATGTGCCATACTTGTGCATAGGTCTTCATGGCCTTGTGGGAATATTTCTTTAGGAATTGCTACATAAAAAGATATGTGCACTTATACAATATGTATATATGTAAGAGACAGGGTCTCACTCTGTCGCCCAGGCTGGAGTGCAGTGATGCTACTGATGCAATCATAGCTCATTGCAGCCTCAAACTCCTGGGTTCAAGTGATCCTCCTGCCTCAGTCTTCCAAGTAGCTGGGACTACAGGCACACACTACCACACCTGGCTAATTTCTAAAAACTTTTTTTTTTTTTTTTTTGAGTCTTGCTCAATCGCCTAGGCTGAAGTGCAGTGGTGCAATCTCAGCTCACTGCAAGCTCTGCCTCCTGGGTTCACGCCATTCTCCTGCCTCAGCCTCCCGAGCAGCTGGGACCACAGGCGCCCGCCACCAGGTGCAGCTAATTTTTTTTGTATTTTTAGTAGAGATGGGGTTTCACCATGTTAGCCAGGATGGTCTCGATCTCTTGACCTCGTGATTCACCAGCCTTGGTCCCCCAAAGTGCTGGGATTACAGGCGTGAGCCACCGCGCCCGGCTCTAAAAACTTTTTGTAGAGATGGGATCTCACTATGTTGTTCAGACTGGTCTGGAACTCCTGACCTTAAGTGATCCTCCCACCCCAGACTCCCAAAGTGGTTAAGATTATAGGTGTGAGCTACCACACCTGGCCCACACTTATGATATTGCTAGCCTGCTCTCCAAAGTAGTTTTTTCAAATGTAGAATCTAAACATTTATGAAACTACTCTTAAGAAAATGAGGTTTATCAGCCTTTTACATCTTTGCAACTTCAAACAGCCAACTTGTATTTTCTTATATTTATTGGTCATTTATATTTTCTATATGTGTTTCCTTTTAGTAAAACTGGGATTGTATAAAGCATATTTTTTAACCAGTTCTGAGATTATATTGGTTATATTTCGTAAACTTTTTTTTTTTTTTGAGACAGAGTATCCCTCTGTCTCCCAGGCTGGAGTGCAATGGCCTGATCTTGGCTCACTGCAACCTCTGCCTCTGAGCGATTCTTGTGCCTCAGTTACCTGAGTAGCTGGGGATACAGGTGCACACCACCACGCCCAGCTAATTTTCGTATTTTTAGTAGACATGGGGTTCACCATGTTGGCCAGGCTGGTCTCGAACTCCTGGCCTCAAGATATCTGCCGGCCTTGGTCTCCCAAAGTGCTGGGATTACACATGTGAGCCACCGTGCCTGGCCGTATAATCTGCTCTTTTAATGTAACTGTATTATATATATGGTAATCTCCCAGAAATAGATTTTTTTTACATGATTTCCAAGGGGATCTGTAGTATAACTGTAGTATATGGATGTATTTAACAAACTATTATTGTGTATTTTGGTAATTTCTAATTTTTGCCATTATAAATATTGCTCTGATGAACACTTTTGTACAAAAATCATCATGAATAGTTACGATTATTTCCTTTGGATAAATTTCTAGGTGTAAAATTGCTGGGTTAAATATAAAGGCTTTAATGTAGATTACCAATTTGCCTCTAAAACGGTTGTATTAAATAAATCTTGATTTGGATATTGAAAAAATTATTTCCCATTAGTAAGTTCTAGACAACTTGACCTAAAAGAACCCTCAATGCAACCAGCTTCCAATTAACTGTGTATACATTTTGTTTAGTACAACATGCAAAGTCTACAGTACTTCTTTCTGTGTGCAGTATAGTTAGGATGGTTCTGATTCTCCACAAACTAGTATGTGTCTAGAGAAAGGAAAACGCAGGAATTCTTAACCCAAAATACAATATATTTTGGAAGCTGAAACTGATAAGTATCATGTAATACAGAGCAAGTAAGTTGTGCATTATCTATTAGTTTTTTTTTTTTTTTTTTTTGAGACGGAGTCTCGCTCTGTGGCCTGG